GTTTGCATGCTCTGTTATTTCGACTTTTAGGGTAGAATTTTTTATTTTTTGAGTTTTGTTACAATTTAGGAAAATTGGCCTCTGCTTTGTGTTCATGGCCTTTATTTTTGGTTACTTTTGAGTTTTGTTACAGTTTGATTTTTGTGTTTTCCTTCAGTTGTCTTCACTTTTATTAAAGCTTTGTTTGTTTGGTTTATTGTAGAAAATGCGTTCAAAAATACCTGCTTCTAAAAGCAAAATGAAGATTGCTGGAAAAGGCGTTAAGTTAGATTATGCGAAAAGATTGAGGGAGTTGCCCTCAAGCCCTGATTCTGAATCTAATGTAAATGTCCAGGCGCCAGATGGTGATGATTTTGAGTCTCCCGCTCCTTCTAAAAACTCGCAACAAGAGAGCAGTCGGATGACTCGTTCACAAACGAGAAATACTCCCACTCCAGTTAAATCATCGAGTGACTTGCCCTCACCACCTTCTTCTGAAGCGAATACGCATGTCCAGGCTCCCGATGATGATGATTTTGAGTCTCCTCCTCCAAAAAAGTTGCAACAAGGGAGCAGTCGAATGACTCGTTCGCAAACAAGTAATACTCCTACTCCGGTTAACATCGTTAGAATAAGGAGTAAGAAATGTGGGAGATCTGAAAAATTAAAAGAAAAGCTGAAAGTTGATTTGGTTAATGAAGATGATGTAGGCTGCAATGTTAAACCGAAAAGGAGAAAGATCAAGGACGATGGTGGGAGTTGCCTTGATTCCATATCGAAAGAACAAAGGTTTGCTATTCGCTACAAATTGAATGAGAGAAAAGCTACGTTGAAGGTATTCCCTATGTTGCTATTAATTTATACATGCTTATACAATTTTATACAAAGTTATACAGCTGTTTATACATCTTTATACAAGTACTGCTATACTTATTTATACATTTTTATAAAATGTTTCAGTATCGTTTTTGTTCCTGATCTATTTCTTGTTATTTTTCCATATGCAAGGTTGGGGACTTCTATATACAACCAGTTGATTATTTCCACAACAAGATTAGTTCCCATACCGAGACTGAGATTGTAAGCATTTTGAAGCAATGTTTGACTGACACGCAGCTTCAAATGTTCCGTGCTAGTTGTTTTGGGTACTTCTTGGACCTCCCTCAATTTAAAATTCAAAATCAACTTATTCATTGTATATTATTGAGTGAAGTCGTCCCAAGACGTGAAAGGGAGTTGTGGGTGCAAATTAATGGTTGTTTGCTGCATTTTGGCATTGGAGAGTTTGCTGTAATCACTGGTTTGAAGTGTGTAGAAGACGACACCACTTTCTATGACAAACCAGATGTTAATAGGTTGCTAAAAGAGTATTTTACAGGAGATGGAAAAAAGGCTATAACGAGGGGGCAGCTTCTTGATCGCTTCAAGAAAAAGGACTGGAAGTCGGACGAAGATGCGTTCAAGATGGCCTTGATGGTGTTTGTCCATCATTTGATATTCTTAGATGCCAATAATCATGGTATCAACAAAGATGATTTTGATATCAGTGAAAGTGGTCAATATCAGACGTATGCTTGGGGAAAAAAGTCATTTGAAGATATTTTAAGGACAATGAGGGACAGACAGTGTGACTATTTGACAATGTATAGGCTTGGAGGTTTGCCACTTGCATTATAAATATGGTTTTTTGAGTGTTGCTCTATGGTTAACAAGCATCTAGTTGTTCGCGTTGGCACAAATGTGCCACGGATTCTTAATTGTAAAGTGACTGAAACTCCAACATATGCGGATTTGACTTGTGGGTTGATCATGTGCAGTATCGACAAGGTAAACATTTTGTACCATAATACTTCTTCATATATGTTTCAGCTTTTCTGTATGTATATTTATGAATATGTCACAATTTCCTTTTTCTACTATTGTAATCCAGTTTTTCTTCTTGTAGTTGAACTATAGGAACATTTCCCCTACTCGTGAAGAGATGTCAACTCTGAACATCGACACGCTTTTTGAAGTTAATGCCGATGATGTTGCATCAGGGGAGGTGCCTGTGGTGCCTGCCTTTCACACTGATGATTCTGTCGCTGCATCTCCACCTTGTCCTCAGAATATGGAGCAACAGTCTAAACGACCTTATCCTCAGAATACGGAGCAACAGTCTAAACGACCTTTTCCTCAGAATATGGATCGACAGCCTAACCCGAGTTATGATCCTTTGGTGCGCATTGATCTGTTAAATGCTGAAGTTGAGAAGTTGAGGAGTGTTGTTGGAAAGGTACTGGACCTTTAGCTTTTCTATAGTTTATCAATACTTTTTGTATATACATGGTTTTTTGGTTATAAACATGGTAGTTGATTTGCTTTTTTTTTTAGTTGACTGATACAGTGACGACACTCAACAATTATGCAGTTTCTTCCTTTGAAAAAGTGTTCAGTTTTCTGAATATGAAGGAAACCAAGCAAACGAGGTAGGATTTTACTGATTCTAAGGTAATTGTTTACTGATAAAACCAAATCACTCAACAGTTATGCCTTCTCTGAATCATCACTCAACATGCCTTCTCTTTCTATTGTTTTTTATTATATTCGTCAGCGCGTGTCTGATTACAATACATCTGGTCTTGGCGAATTTGATGGCTATCAATATGATGTTGTTCCTGACTTTGTCAATCAAGTGAATCAAGATGACGTGCTAGCTGACGAGGGAGTTACTGATGGTGTTGATCATGGTATTTGTTCTGCATTTTATCTTTTTTTTGTCTGATTTTTCTTTTCTTCATTTTAAAGTTTTTTATTATTTGTTTTCTCTGTCTAAGGGGCAGCAGGTGATGTCAAGGGTGACTCATTTTGGGATGACATTGGCGATGAAGATTTAGCTACGGTACAGATGTCCCAAATTGTGCTTCACAAACAATCCATCATAGACGTAGAAGATGATTACATTTCTCCTGAAAAGTCAGTTTGACAGAAAATACCAGGAAAATATGCCAAATCTCCATATTTGTCAGTTTTTGATTCGGGGGCATCAGAATCGGCGCCCAAGCTCATTTTTGATATCAAGCATCCTTTCACGATCGAAATTGATGATTTTGATCCATTGTCGCCAATGGCTAAAGAGTTTTGCGCGTTTGTTGATAATGGGATGGATACGAGGCGAAGGTATCTTCACTTTCTTTAATCTTTCATGTTCTGATTTTATACTTGTCAATGAATGTAGTTCTGATTACTTTTTATTTTTTGTGATTTGAAATGCCAAAAATATATATCCCGATGAAGTAAATAAGCTTGCGGAAGCTTTTACTTTTGGCTCGTGTAATGTGACCACGAAGGATTGGTTCCACTCACTTGCATATTGTGGTCGACCTTTCATTGACACGGTATTTAATAAATTTATGTTCTAATGCCTTTTTTTATTTGTTGCATATCTTTATTATTTGAGACCCCCATAGTGTATACATAGCTTTGTATAATCACAGTATAAGATTGTATAAGATTGTATAACCTTGTATAAATATGTATACCTTTGTATAATAGTATATAAATTTCTATATTTAAAATATCTGGTAGTGATGGTTGTTCTGTTTTATTTCTTGTCTCAGCACTTGGATGTCCTCTTTTAGTATTTGAGGAAGAGGGGAAAATATGGGCCGAGTGTTGCCATGCGGTTTACTACAACCGACTTTGCCTTTGGTAATAAAATCAACTCCCTGTAGAAAGTTTTCAAAGTGAATCAAGATCCTTCAGTGATTCCTGAAGGGCATGAGATAGAAGAGTACATTAGAGGATATTATTGTGATGCAAATGTCCCGTGGCACACTGTTGACCACGTCTTATTCCCTATCTATGTGAAGCGCGGAAGAGCAAAACTGGGCCATTGGGTTTTGGGGGTGTTTACGTTCATAGATAGGTGCATCCACATCTATGATTCTAACCGTGGAGCTATTAATGATAGACTTGTTTTGGATGCTGCATTACCTTATGCAATTCTGATACCTTACTTCTTGAAGAGTTCTGATTTTTATGTCGAGAAGAAGGGCATTGATTGGAACAATGGTACATATACCGATAAATCCCATTCTGATGCTTTGCAGATTAATCTGGTTTATAATGTTCCCCAACAGATCAAATGGTAGGTTAATCTCAATTGTTTTACTATTTTACTATTAGATTACCTATTTGAATCTGATTTGTTTCTTTTTAATTACAGTGATTGTGGTGCTTTTGTTGCTGGCTTTGCTGAGTATTTCATCCTTGGTAAGGAAATTCGAAAAGATAATTTTGACATTGAGACACTTCGCACCATGTGGGGATCTCTGTTGTGGGATTATGGTAGGAAAAAACAATAGTCCGGTGCAATTAGTGGTGATGAAATCACAGGGAGACTTTTCAAGAAGAGGAAGAGGGGGGGACCGAGAAAGTAGTTCTGTTTTTTCCATTTTACTGTAGTTTTTCTATGTATCAGGAGTTGTTGCCTAGTTTTGTCTAAGTACTGTTCTGCTACTTGTGAGATAACCTTAAAGGATATTATAGATGTTTTTATTTTTGTGTAATTTGCGGTAGTCATTACACATTGTGGCTATAAATGAATTACATTTTAATGAATATATCAGTTGCTTTTGTCCTTTAACAAAGTATGTATTTTCATTATGGTTGTAGTTTTGTTAATGTAGCAGGGTTTATACATATTTATACAATAATATACATAGTTATACAAATTTATACTCTCATTTATATATTTGTATACATATAATACCAGCAGTTCTGTTTTGTATTTGTACAATCTATCAATATATTTAGCACCATTAAAAACAGCAACACACTATTATTGGATAATCAAAACATGTATAATGAAACATATTTAACATAATTGCAATATATATAGCGTAAGTTGTAATTCTTTATTGACATTTGTAACTCGATTACTTGTGAAACTTAACTACTCAACATTTGTAACTCTATTCTTTGTGAAACTTAACTACTCAACATGACAACAAATGTAATAGGAAGTGTTATGTTTTCAACTATTTATTTTGGTCGATTCCTACATGTTTTTCTATTGTGACCACCTTGTCCACACACAGAACATGAAAACACCCTCTTAGACTCTTTTTCTGAAGCAGGTTTGAGTCTTTCGTTTCTTGGCTTCCTGCATTCCTTCTCCCTTTAGGTGGTAGGACCACATCTTCCATCAACTCTGTTGGGATTACCCATAAACTCTCATCTGGCATCGGATTCACTGGAAATTCATAAGTTCTAAGGAGTTTATCCTTCTTGTAGTAAAAAGAGCAATACTGGCCAGGTTTCAGCTGCTGGTTCTTCAAAACTGCCCAAGCATGCAGACATGGAAGTTCATCCATTTGAAATTTTCCACAACTGCATGTTCCCTCTTCAAGGCACACTATGTTTCGCCTTACCCCTTCAAACACAATATATAACTTCTCTGTAGCGGGCCTCACCTGCAAAAGTTTTTTCTTTTAAAAAAAAAGTGAAAGAACATTATACATTATTATACAAAGTTATACATCCTTATACAAACAGTAAAATGCAAGTTAGCAGTGTCAAGCATCATTATATTTGATTCAATTTACCGTCATTTGCTCCGATGCAATCAGATTTTCCCGAAGGAATTTGTCATACTTTTTGCCAAGCTCTGTAGATGTCTCCATTGCACTTTTTCTGTTTTTGTTGTTCCACTGTTGTAGCAAATTTGACATGTACTCCAGCAATCGCATTACTGGTAACTCTCTAGCATCCTTGTTTGCTGCATTAATTGACTCTGCAATATTGGAAGTCATTACCATCGACCTTTTTCACTTTGGAATATGCCCTAGACCACCTTTCGTAGCCAATTTCGAACAAGTAAGGCTGCACTCTCGGATCAATTTTGCACATCTCTGTCATATGGTACTCAAACTTCTCTATCGTATAAGCTCTAGCCAAAGCAAAGAAGATATCCTTCAATTGTTTGTGATGTTTCTTGAATGTGCGCTTTACATTCTGCCACAAGTGAAACATGCAAATACAATGTGGTACTTCTGGGTACACAGCTTTTGTGGCATTGAAGATGCTTTCATTTCTATCTGAAACTATACACATCCCTTCCCTAACTCCAAAAGTACCCTTTATCTGGACAAAGAACCACTCCCAAGATTTGTTATTCTCTGAATCTACAATTGCATATGCAAGTGGAAGGATTTTTCCTGTTTATACAAAATAGATATTAGGATTCAGACAATTATACAAATCTTATACACAGTTATACACAATTATACAATTTTATACCAACTGCAAATTTTATAAAAACAGTAGCTGTGAAATCCTATACACTTTTATACATGAAACTACAACATTATACAAACTGCAGAAACAAGGTAGATGCAGTCAACTCACCAGCTCCATCCTGTGTGCAAGCAGTCAATATGGTACCCTTATATGCTGCTTTAAGGAAACTTCCATCAACAACCATTATCGGTCTGCAATGCTCCCAGCCCTTGATAGATGCATATAGCGAAACATATGCATAAAGAAAGCATCCATCTTCTGATTTGTGCAACTTTGTAACCGTTCCTGGATTTGTTTGCTCCAACATATAAAAATACTTCGGCAACTCCTTATATGAATCACTTGGACTCCCTCTTATCATTGCCATTGCTATCTCTTTAGCTCTCCATGCTTTCATGTAGCTCACCTCAATTCCGTGTTGCTTTTGTATGTCCTCTATTATATCATTTGCAGTGTAAACTTTTTTTGGATTAACATACTTGTCCTTGACTATACTAGCAATTACACCCGAAGTAGCTTGACGTTGTGTTAAGTATCTTTCACCATAGCTGCATGTGACGACCCGGCCCATCGTCAAGTGAGTTACCGCCCCGTTTTCCCCTTATTGTGTTGCTTCATGTTTCAATATCGGTATTAGAGTTGATCGGGTGTAATTGAATTGGTTTTGGTTGAAAATAAGGCACATAGCCTCAAGAAGGAAGCTTGTTTTAGAAAAGTCAACCGGAAGTTGACTATGTGGTTAGAGGGCTCAGATGTGAATTCCGGTGGTTCGGTTAGCTTCGGGGAATGATTTGGGACTTAGGAGTGAAGTCGGAACTGAATTTGGAGGTCCGGTGTAGAAATAGGCTTGAATTGGCGAAGTTGGAATTTTGGCGAATTCCGGTTGATAGGTGAGATTTTGATCCGAGGGTCGGAATGGAATTCCGAGAGTTGCAGTAGCTCCGTAGGGTGATTTTGGATATGTCTGCAAATTTTCAGGTCATTCGGACGTCGTTTGGTCGGGTTTTTGATCGAAAGTGCATTTAGGAAGTTTTTGAAGAACTTAGGCTTGAATCCGATGTAAATTAATGGTTTTAGTGTTGTTTGACGTGTTTTGAGGATTGGAGCAAGTTTGAATAAGGTTTTAGGATGTGTTGGTATTTTTGGTTGGGGTCCCGGGGACCTCGGGGTGAATTCGGATGATTAATCGGAAGTTGGAATGTTTGGTGTTGCAGCAGATTTTTGAGGCTTCTGGTATTTCCGCATCTGCGGAAAAGGAGCCGCTTAAGCTGTAGGAGATCGCAAAAGCGGCCCTTGAGGGCTTGGGCAGTTACCGCAAAAGCGAAAGTTTATCCGCAAGAGCGGACACCGCAGATGCGGTAAGCGACCGCAGAAGCGGTCCTGGGATTATTGTAGAGACCGCATAAGCGGTCATTGGGATCGCATAGGCGGCAACCGCATAAGCGGTTTAAGACCGCAGAAGCGGTCGTTGTGGGTTTAAGTAGAACCGCATAAGCGCTCAATTTGCCGCATAAGCGGGACCGCAGGTGCGGTCAGGAGACCGCAGAAGCGAAAAATGCTGAGGGTTTAATGAACAGTGGGTTCAAAATTTCAGAAGTTAGAAAAACATTTTGGGACTTCGGGAAGAGGCGATTTTGGGCGATTTGGAGAGATTTCAAAGGAGATTCCATCAGGTATGAACTTGTAGCCTCAAATAATGTTGTGAGGGTATAAAAACAAGGATTAAACACTGAAAATTCAAGGAATTAAAGGGTAAAAATGGAGGTTAGGGCTTGAAGCCTAAGAGAGTCTAAATTGGCAATTGGAGGGGTCAAATGGACTCCGATTCTTGTGTATTTGGTATGTATGGACTCGTGGTGAGACGAGGATTCCGGAAATGTGAATTTCGTAATTTTTCGAGAAGTGGGCCAGGGCTTGGGTTTTGCCAACTTCGTGTTTTTGGGTGTTTTTCGAGTTCTTTCAATTGGGTTATGTTCCATTAGCCTATTTTAATGTATTCCTTGTGGTTTTGATCAGATTCGGCACCCGAGGAGGTTGATTCAAGAGGGAAAGGCTTAGCGGACTAGTCTCGTGGCCGGTTCGAGGTGAGTAATAGATGTGGATGATGACCTGAGGGTTTGAAACCCCGGTATATCACACTGTGACGCTATATTGAGGCGAGACACGTACTCTACGGTGAGTGCGGGGTCGAATGTGATTGGGGACTATGGCTTAGTCCGCCCGAGTGATGTTGTACTGTGTTGTTGGCTATAAATTAGCTGGTAAACCTCCTACTTGGATGGTTATGGATATATGCAGGTTGCGTGCCGGTTATTTGGATCCCGTAGGGATTATTATCACTGTTTCTGTGATTTATAGCATGTTTTCATGATATCAGTCCTGAGCTAAACATTTGTCCTAAAATGACTAGCAAAATTCTAAGGTTTCAG